TTTCTTTTTTTTTTTCTTTTTTTTTTTTAATTTACTCCATTTTATTGGTGGGGAGCTGCACCTGCTCGAAAACGGATCCAGCGTCCCTTATATCATGAGTGTACATCAAAAACATACTGCCAAACTGTCTTGCGGGAGAACCAAGTCGTCCTTTTCGTCCCACAAGTAACGAGAAAAAATTACCCGATTGTTCTGACTGAGTGAAACCCACTTGTATTCTGAGGCCCAGGCTTTCAAAAAGGAGGACTGAGCCAGATCTATCAAGGGAGTCCCTGCTTTCTTCTTCCTATATTCTGCCAAAATCAGATTAAATTTCTAACAGATAGCTTAAAGTTGTTCCGGATCCTGGGAATTGACCATGAGATCTCGCAAAATCTACGATCCCTACCGCCCAACCAGAGGACCCAGAAACCCCAACAACTCTGCATTTATTTGCTATGATCCGGCTTCTTGGGCTATTGCCCTCATCTCCGAAGAAGATGCAAGTCCTTGGTCCACAAATGTGTGGAGTGTCTTGATATGCTGCAAACCACATTCTGGTAGTGCCTACCCAGTCCCAGAATCCTCTGGCCACCACACATTCCCACCAGAGGTGGGAGGAGTCTTTCCAAGGAGCTGTGTGGGCATACGTCGCATGAGGTGGAGATATCCAAACCTTTGATCGCACACCAGGCTGTGGGGGGTACACAGTTGTGCATGTGCAGGCACTGTAAACGTGCGACCTTTGATTCTAGTGTACTCATAATTAGTGTGATGTAGAATTGCACCCAAGTTGGAATCGGGTTTGATAACTGAAAGGCAGGGGACTGCTTGCGCCAAGAGTTCGAAACATTAATCTGCAAGGAAGATGCTTTGCAGACGAGCTTGTATCCCGTTTGAGATGTGTAGTTTGGGAGAGGAATAGCTGAGACCTCAGAGGTCTCTGCGGTAATCCTCCATCCTGACCTCATCCAGTTTCCAATCCCTAAATGGGGTACCGCCCTTGAGCAGTATTGTGACTTGTCTTCCTTGTTTGTTGATAGTCTGTGAGACTCTCACTCCCTGATGATGATGTAATAATAATGAAAAAAAGTGTTCTGTAGATGCATTACTGCGATACAGATGCGTTGGCTGCTCTGTTGCCTCCATACAGAGGCCTCCGCCTCCGCTGAGTTTCAGAACTTGGTAGAAAACGTTGGGGTTGTCCGGGTCCCTCCCCCAGGACCCGACTTCTCCTTGTGCCGCCGAGCAGAGCTTGTCCTTCCAGGTATCCGGGATGGCGATAATCAGCAGTAGCCGGTGAGTGCCGTGGTTGTGGAGTCCTCTGAGCTTCCTTCTTAGGTACTCTTCTGGCTTCCAGTCTGCAGTAACTGTGTCCCATAGACTGGCAAAATTGCCAATTGCCAGGGTTGATGGAGACCGAGAAGGGGTGGCCTGAGTTATTCAAGATGGATGGGTTTTCAAACAAACTTGCAGACAGGATTTCAGACATAGTGGAAGGAAGGGGGTACAGATGAGGAAGGGCATATCCTAGACCAGGCTTTGAGGATTGGTCCCCATGTGGGGGATCTCAAAGACTTCACTAGCGGTGGATACAGCAAGGCGTGCCACATCTTTCGACCGACTGCACAGTGTTTTTTTTTTTTTTTTTTTTTGGGGGGGGGGGGGGGGGGGGGGGGGGNTTCTGAGCGGGCTAGTTGAGTGGGCTGGCTTTGACCCTCACCCCCTTTTCGTTTCCTTAACGAGGAAAAAACACTCTCCTCTTTGGTTTCTTCCCTCTCCTTTCCTCCCCCCCCCCCCCCCCCCCCCCCCCCCCCCAAAAAAAAACCCCCCCCCCCCCCCCTTTTTTTTTTTTTTTTTTTTTTTGGGGGGGGGGGGGGGGGGGGGGGGGGGGACCCCTCTCAGAAGACCCCAATAAACCCTTCCTCTGATCGATTAGCCCGGCACGGTCGAAAGCAATGTCACGGATGTTGCTGAAACTTGTGCAGCTACACTGGTACAGTAAGCTGCACTCCAGGGGCGAGGTCCCCCTGAGGCTAAGCAAAGAGGATTGGATTAAATGCCTGAATCTGGATGTGTTCTTTTCGCACAGATGCGGAAATGCAGTTCAATCTCGACCTTCTGCACCTCTCCACGAAAACGTCCAGATTCAGGCATTCGATCCAATCCCCTTTGCTTTTGGGGCCTCCCCCTAGGAGAGCATCCAATAATCATACAACATAATCCAATATTGACAGACCTCCTTGTCTGCTTCTGGCCCCTCATCGTCACGATCAACGGCCAGAAACAAGCATCCCCGTAAATGGGATTTTGCAGCCTTGGGGTGACCCTTCCCATCAACGACAGAGAATCTCTTTTGTGTGTGTGTGTGTGTGTGTGTGTGTGTGTGTGTGTGTGTGTGTGTGTGTGTGTTTTAATTTGGGGTTGTTTTCAGCAGGGAATAAGGAGGCCAGGAGAATTTAAACTCGGCTTGAGGAGGGAAAATGAAAGCGAAAAGAAGTAGGAAAGAAAAATGGAGGAAGAAAAGAGAAGTAGTGAATTGAATAATTTGAATGGATGAATTCATGATGAGCAGGATGGTGGGGCCCACGGTCGTCCCCTGAACACCAAGGCAGAAGAAACAACAACAACAAACAAACAAAAAAAAAAAAAAAAAAAAAAAAAAAAAAAAAAAAAAAAAAAAAAAAAAAAGCAACCTGATTATGAGCATGAATGTATATAAGCGGATATTTCCGGTCTCATACAGTCATAATGATGACGGTGCATTGTATTTGGGATACACGGGAGGGCCAAATCACCTGCTCACCAAAAATAAAAATAAAAATAAAGGAAGAGAAAGTACCAAAGTAGAGCAGAAAGAAAAAAAAGAAAGAAAGAAAGAAAGAAAGAAAGAAAAATGGATAAACACTATTAAAAAGAGATAATTAAAAAAGGAGAACACAAAGGAGGACACAAAAGAAAGAAAGAAAAAGAAAGAGAGAAAGAAAGAAAGAAAGAAAGAAAGAAAGGAAGAAAGAAAACAAATAAAAAAGAAAAAGAAAGAAAAAGAAAGACAGAAAAAGAACGAAAAAGTTCAATAATTTTTTTAATTTCGAAGAACTCATGATCAGCATAACCCGATCCTGACGTCTTCCAACCAATCATCAATCATGATGCCGCATAGCATATAACTAAAATGCCTAGTAATGAGTACATTCTTATATAAAAAAACTTCAAAAAACTTCAAAAAAAAAAACTTGAAAAAAGTACATTCTTTGCATTACCTCTCCGAGTCGCTTCCGTTCGCTTTTTTTTTTCGCCCCGAGTCTTTTCCTTTTTTTTTTTCTTTTTTTTTTTTTGTGTGTCTTTCTTTCTTTCTTTCCCCCCATTGCGCAATGGCGGGCAAGCAGTGAAGATACAGCATTATGATCATTAAAGAAAACGACAAATCATCGCATGTCATTCTGGACATCTCTATCAAATGATCGATCGGACGGCCATCGATCTGCTGATCGATTCCCAAAAAAAAAGAAAAAAAAAGAAAAAAGAAAAAAAAAAGAGAGTTTCTTACCTCGGCTGTGCGATCAGCAATTATATCTTTAAATCCGTTTGAATACAGGACAAAAGTTTTGGCGCCTAACGATGATGAGTCAATCAGCCAATCAAACTATCATCACAACACTTGATGGTGATGATGATGATGATGATGATGATGATGATGATGATGAGGATAATGATGATGATGATGATGATGATGATGAGGATGATGATATCTTGCACTGGGAAC